TTATCATTTCACATTCACTGGCATTATTATTGTAATTTATTTAGATTTTTGGTGACTTTAAAGGATTTTTTTCTGCCTCATTTTGACAAGATGTTTCATTATCTAGCTGCCAATTGGTGCTAAAAAGAAAACCCATTATTCCTCCTCTGCTTCAATATTTCCTCTGACGAGTTAAATTATGCCATTTGGTAAATGTCATGCCTTTGGACTGCCATTAGTTGATTCCTCTCAGTTTGTGAACTGTGTTAGTATCCCATTGACTTTTACAGGGCTTTTCACCAAAGGGCAGCTCCCCATGTGGTCCAGGTGCTGAAGGAGGCGTCTGCAGCCTTGTTATTGCAGTCACAGCTCCAGCGCTGTCGCTGTTTGTCTTCAGAGAACTTCAAAAAGCACATTCATGGTGGGTGAGACAGAGAAATTTCACTGACTTGAAAGGCACACAGAGAGATTGGGCCTTCTGCTGGAAGTACAGTGTGACATTAGGTTTGGATAGAAGGTCTGAACGCAATAATTTCCCATCACCGAGGACACTTCAATTTGAATACCAGCTTTAAAGTGTCACCTCAGATATCACTTAGCCTGGAGATAATGAGGTATAAAAGTCACAAGTCATTTTCAGGCTGGTGGTTGAGAAAATGGACTGCTGTGATAAAGTAGACCAGAAGGAATAGGCAGAGGAAATTGCAGAAATATATGTCCAGTATCTTTCCACCCATCCGTTCTCACTCTTTCTAGCATCCTGACCCCTGCCACCTTCGGTGTGGATGAGTGCTTCCCTGCACCAGGGGACCCTGGAGATTGAGGAGATTGGCCGGAGAGCGAAGAGGAGCATGAAACCAACTGATAATAAAATATGGCTGGGTTTCTACAAGAACAAGATAAGGCCTGCCTCTCATCTCTGTGCGCATTATCAGACTCTCAGGATCTAATGCACTTTGGAGGGAGATGTGTTTATTTACAGCTGTAAATACAAACAAACCAGTCTGGACACATGATCGTCACCACAAGGTACGTTACAGCACCAACAGTTCTGATTTGAAAATAACTGTAAAAGTGATGTAAAATAAATCCTCTAGGAGACTGATCACAGTTTGCGAACTTAAATTATTCTCTTCTAAAATTCGACATCTGAATGCCTACGATATCTATAAATCTGGATATAAATTTGGATATTGAGCATAGCGATAATTCAGGCAGGACATGATGTCAAGCTCAGCGCACATCCCAGCTACATCAGCTGATCACAAACAGCTCAATCAACTGATGGAGCAGCCGATTGATGAAAGGGAGGCAACTGATAGCTCACACGATTCCTTTCTATGCATGCAGTTGGTGAATCTCATTCATGGCGCCCTATTTAAACTGCTCTGGCCTGCCTACTGTTGCTGCTTCCTCTGCAAGCTGCTTTGCAACCTGCCTCCACCCCAGCGCCTCCTTTTCATGTTGTGTCTGACTTAATCAATGTCATTTCTGTTTGTCAGTGATGCTGCTCTGTTCTGTTCCTGGGGGTCTTTGCTGCTGCTCTCCCTGCCTTAGGTTTTCCATGTAGGTGCGTGGAAGGGCAGAGAGGTTTGCTGTCTCTGCCTTAAAGCTTTCTATGTAGGTGCGTGGAAGAAACTTTATGCGCAGGCCTGAGGAAAGGCAGAGAGGCCCCAGAACAGAGCCATACCACCAAATCTAACACTGCAAATGGAAATAAAATTTTCCTGACTGAACTGATGTTTTTGGAAGTAAAATATTGACTCCATCTTGATTACCTCTAAACTGTTTTCTGTGTGACTGTCGAGTGTACTTCCCAGGTTTCAAAAACAGGCATATAAATGTGTGCACCCAAGTTTGTACATATCCCACATGTTCTGAAAGGCGTGACCAATTCGCCGACGGGAGTAAACCAAGGAAAATATAATAAATAAATACATGTGTATTCCTTGGAGTAAACAAGGAAGCAGTCCTAAGTGGTCATGTAAGGAGTAGGGCTGCCACCTAACAGTCAACCAAATGTTAGTTGACCAGAAAGGTTAAGTCGGCAAGATTTCATTGGTCGCTAAGTCCCAGAAAAAACAAACAAACAAAAAAAAAAAAGAGAAATGTGAAACTCTATTAGGAGTAGTGTGGCATAGCACAAATGGAGCTCTACTAAAAGTTCAGCGGCGACACACCTTCTCTTTTAGCCTATCATATTCCTGTCTTACCCATCACAGCCTCATCTTCTTGGATTCATCAGCCTCAGAGTCATCAGCCATCAGCCTCAAAGTCATCAGCCTCAGAGTCATCAGCCACCAGCCTCAGAGTCATCAGCCATCAGCCTCAGAGTCATCAGCCACCACCAGTGTCTGGACTGCATGTGGGGATTTATCTTGCTGCACCTCAGATGTCCCTCGATCACAAAAAAATCAACGACTTCTGTTAAATCTCAATCAGCTCTAATCATCTGTATTAAACTTCATCTTAACTTTCTTCATCTGTCTCTCCTGGTTGAACTATCATTTGGTCAGTCCTATAATCAAAGTAGATGTTCCTCTCTGAGGGTGTTCACTACACTGTGTCTGTTTAAATGCTCCAACCACATAACACTGTCTACTATTTGTTTTTCTGTCACTATACGAGATAACAACATGAACTGCCACTTTACTCAAAAGGTCGTAGACATCATATTTTCTTTCACAGCCACAAACAAACACTGTGATCCAGTCTTCACGAAGACTTGCTGTCTGATCTTAAGCAGAGGTCTGATGTTGGCGGTAACAGTGATTGAGCGGCCTGTTGTGACAAACCTGAGGCAGATATGAATTGTCTTTGCCTTCTGTGACTATTCCAAATGACAGACCTTACAACTTTTCATAAAAATGCTAATAGGGATTATAGAGAGCCCGCGGCACTTTCCATCAGCTCAAAGAGGCCATTATCTGGAGATTTAGTTGACATTAGTCCTGATATGCTTCCCTCCCCACTTCACCACTAGTTGCAGGAATTAATGTGTTTCAAAGGAGGTAATAGAGGTTCTGTGGGGTGGATGGAAGCTTCAGTTCCAGGGATGGCGGCCTTTACGCAGTCAGGTTGGTGATTGGCATGTTGAATCATCATGAAAGTGTGTGTGTTGAGAGCCAGGCGGAGGAACTGAACCCCCCGCCACCGTCACATTGCATTACCGGCTCAGTGGCATGGTATCATCACATCAAATTAGTCTTAATGAACACAAGCGAGTCGACTGAGGAGAGAGATAATCAAACTTTTATTAAATGACTTAATCTTCTGTACATGCATAATGTCATGGAAAGAGAGATGGGTCTGTGATGTCTGCCTGCGAGGAGATGATCTTTACCCCCCAAAATAAGTGAGTGTATGTGGAAGCAGAGCTATCTATCGACCGACTAAAACCTATCGATTATTTGCCCGAGTGCGGGAGCTCGCTGAACGGCTCCTCTGTGGAATAAAATGATCTAAATACAGAAAGTAAAATACCTCTACCAGCCAAGCCTGTTCCCTTGAGTAAACAAAAGAGATGCATTTCAAATAGTATGTTCCTTCAGGTCATTTGGTTATCATACAAAAAATGCACTGTAGCTCACTCCACACATCTTAGATGCCATAAACAGAGCAGCTAAACATCTATCAAATATCGCAGAGACGTTAACATGTAAACGAAATTACAGAGAGCATCTTTAAAAGAATCCACTTCAAGCCTGTTTACACCTGGTGTTCACCTTCATCTCGGGTGATCAGATCACAAATGGACAACTCTTTGTCTGTGGGTCACACTTGATTTTTTTTAATACCATTGCCTTTACTGATTCCTTTACTAATTCCCAATCAATTCTTTGTGTGTACTGTACAACAGTAGGCCTACACAGGTTTTCAGCACCAATGCATCTGTTTTATTATCTCTTCCTTCATCTATCTGCACAGCATCCTTTTTATCTATTAGTCAAAGGAAAAATGTGCTGAGTCTGCCAGTGTGGCGCAAATATTATTATCACAGAGAATATTTACACTCAATAATCGACGTGCTGTTCGGTTGGGTGATGTGGCACTCCTGCGTAGTGTCAAATCATCATTTTACAGACAGTACAAGCTGCACTTTCTTTGTGAAATGAAGCCACGCTTTGGACTGTTTCTTCCTCTCCACCATGACTCCTTCCTTTTACAAGTTTCCAGTAGTGAAGAGACATGAGTTCAATGTTGTGAGACATTTAATTCTGATGGATCGGACAATGTGAAAAAGGTTCTCACCTGGCATCACCTGGCGCTAAAATACATCTCCGAATACATCTTGGTGATCACTTGTAATCAGATCTAAGTTTCCTGCTCTATACACACATAAACACATGAATCATTTCTGTTTGCAGGATCAAATGCATCGTTTTTAACCAGCAGGCGGCTTGTCTTGCTAAACACTTTATAGCCTTTACTTTTTGTAATGAGTAACGTCTTATTTCATTATATCTTTGATTTGCAGCTCCTCCTTGTCCTGCTCTAAGCACCGCTAGTCAACTATTGCTGCTAAAGTACGAGCCACTGAGTGAACAGCTCTCAAGACACATTGATGATCAGTGTTGAGAAGGTTAAATGTGATAGACTACACAGATTACTAGAGATTCGAATCGTCAATTGGAGATCCTTTTATATGACTAAGATTGCTTCAAGTTGAACAGTTTTATTATGCTAGTCAGTATGCAGTGCAGTGTACTTCTAGGGATGTTTTAGTCCCCAGATTTTGCTGCAGAGTGAGCGCTCTTGACTTTCACGCTACTGTCTTGGTACAGTGGTAAATTTACAGCTCAACACAACACAGTCTCTGGCTTTTGTTGTCATATCTCATGTCGGCAAAAAATGTTGCTGCACAATTCCGATCCGTCTCCTCAGCAGAGGACAGGAGGACTGATACTGACTGATGTCTGTGTTCTTTATTCCTTCTAAACTTCACTCAGTATTGTGATGTCAGGAATATGATTTATTTTACTGACATTTTTATTTTGTTTCCAGTGAGATATTAAGTTCATATTGTGACTTTGCTGTTTTAATGTTACTGTTGCTGCTCTAGAAACATGTAGTTTTAAAATATTTAGTTTTATTCCTGTTGTAAATGTATTCTTTTTAAAAATAATTCCTCGTAAAATTTACAGTATTAGTTCTTTGAGAATCTCTTTCACATACTAGCAGAAACTGGTATTGTAACCGAAAAATCTCAAATCAAATAGATTCAGGAAATCAGTGGCGATACCCAGCCATATGTAATTTAACTACATATTTTTTCTCAGTAACTGATTAAAGTTTTGTAATTTAATGACATGTAACTAGTTGCTCTCCAAACGGTTGAGGACACACTTGGTGCACTCTCACCTGTACTTAAAACTTTACATTTGCAATGTGATCACCCAGGACGCATGTCAGTACCAGGTGTAAACAGGACCGTATATACTAGGCAAGGGTTTCACCCTCAGGACAAGTTTAATACTCAGATGTTAACATTGAAATGCACAAAGCATATAATCCATATAAAGTCTTGCTTGTGTTACCTTTATGATTTAAACTGGAAAAACTTAAAATACGATTCACTGATTCAGGCCCTGTCGGGAATCAAATGTAACAGGAAAAAAATATTGGAAGGAAGTAAATCTGGCACTGATGTTCATTAATAAAGCCAGTCTTTAACTGTTGTTTTAAGAACTGACAAATAACCTCATGTGTGTTGTAAGGCACGATGCTCACTTTGGCTGATGGTACTGTAGCAGTAATTCTGTTGAATTTGGTCCAAGAGTTCCTCGACCGAAGCTCTATCGTCACGAGTTCGCTGATGAAACTGCACGATTCAAACACTGGAGATCTTTTAAATTTACCTGGGTGACTGCTGCTGTGTGCACAGACGGGTTTCTTTTTCAACCTCTGAATAAAGACGTGTGCTTGTTTTTGCAGCACATACATTCATTTTTCCTTTGCTTTTGAAGACCTTATTAAAATTTCCCCCCAAAATGAACAATTTAAAATGGCCTATATACAATAAATTTACATTAAATATGTATAAGATGACAGACGATCCCCATGAGACTGTCAGGACTTGAGAGCTTACCCTCTCAGCAAATGGAATAAATCCTCCTCGGAGGATGTATTTAAGGCCGCGAGGCTCTGAGGTCGACTACTTTACAGTTTCACCTCTAACACACAAAGAGACAGACTCAGACAGATTAAAGGCCATGCTGCTGGACTTGACCCAAGGCAGGAGGTCAGGAGGAAGAGAACAGAGCTGCTCCGTTCGTCAGGGAGGAGGCCGGGCTATTTGTGTTCTACCTCGTCAGCTGACCCACCACTTTCAGCAGAGTCTTGTTCTCCTGTTTGAGTTGCTCGTTCTCATCTTCAATGTCATCCAGGTCCTGTGTGAAAGGGCAAACACAGACCGCTCTGGGGTTAGCACTTCAGACAGATTTAGACACATAAATATTCACAACTCCACCACTATACCTTTGAGGGCCCAGTGGGGTCGGAGTGTTAGCCTGAGAGTTAAAGCGAGTGTTAGCTGCTGCCGTTTCCCTCTCCAGCCTGGCTGCCTTGATAGCAACAAATTAGACATTAACAGCTCCAATTAGTTGTAAATGAGAGAGGCTCTCAGTTGCCACAGCGCCATCTCATCAAAGTGACACTCCTCATTTTCGGTTTCCTCCATCACCGGTCATGATTGCGTGGCGGCTGAGGACGAGCCGAGCTGCACTAAGAGGGATTTGAAAAGTCAGACTAAGGAGGTCGTGTTTCTACACAGCATGTTGACTCTGCTGCAGAGGAAGAGTGATATAAAGACTAGTTTCAGAACATACACTCATGGGTGTCAGACTCATTTTAGTTCATAGACCACATGCAGTCCAATTTAATCTCGAGTGGGCTGGACCAGTAAAACCATTGCATTAGGGCTAACATTTTGTGGTCAGTTGGTCAATATCCTCTTTGATCAGACTTTTAAAGACTGGTTGAGCTTTGCTGTTGCAAAGACAGTTACAGGAAATCTTTCTGGCCCAAAGCGTTAAGTCTGTCTGGGGAGGGGGCACAAGCACATACAGCCAGGAGCACCAGCAACCCCCTGTCCGACACTGGCATACCTTTCTCTGCAACGTTCTAAAATGGTTTCGTCTCGTCATGAATCATCGGTCTGAACTGGTGGAACCTGCTGTTGTAATGAAAGAAATGTCCCAACTTGGGATCACTAAAGTCCATCCATCCATCTATCCATCTATCTATTTATTTATCTTGTCTGACCAAGTTCTCATTGGTTGAACAATCGCTGGGGCGACGTTCATAAGGCTGTGTGTCCACCAAAGTGTTTTCTTCCCAGCTGCTGTTGTTCAGCACTTGTAATTGTATGTGACATTTGGTCTTCGAGGTATTTGTTCTGCCCCTTCTTCACTGTGATCAGACAGCTGGGTAAAAAGTGACCAGTGCCAAGTAAACATTTTTCAACTCCCATTTTGCAATCGAAAAAATGGATAAATAATCACAGAAGACATTCAGAGTCGGATTTATCATGACAAACTTCTTCAAGTCTCCAAAAAGACACCACAGGTAAAGACTGGATTACAAAGCCTCTGAGAGGGATAACATCACCCCCAAGCCTTTATTGGAACAACGCCTCTAGGCAAAAAAAGTAAGTGCCTCACATGCAGCGTTCTAGAGATATTCAACGTTAGTAATGTTATGTCATATACAACATTATCAAACCCAGGGTTAACTTCTATAGCCGGGCTATTCAATTGGCGGCCCCCGGGCCAGGTTCTGCCCGCGGGGGATTTTGTGCTGGCCCTTTGGGCGGAACATAGGGAATACATGCGGGTAGTTTCATATACAGCTCATGGCTATGACTCATGGTACATTATCTGGTGCAGTAAGTGGCGGTATGCACCCGTTTACACCATGGTGGCAATCTGCTATGTAATCAAAAGAGGAGGAAGAATATCTACTTGTTTTGGCCGGACACATATTTTTGGGGACCACAATGGACCAATCAAAGTGGCCCATGCGCGCTCTAGCCGCGCTCTGCTCTGACCTATTTGTTTCCTCTTTCAAGCCAAGCATGGAGCTCGACTAACAAGACAAAATGTCTCTCTCTACTTTAAAAAAATGAAAAGTTGACTCAGAGAATAGGCAGTTCAACAGTGAATGGACAGAGAAATATGTGTTTATTGCTGTTGGTGCGAAGCCTGTGTGCCTAATCTGCAACGAGTGCCTCTCCGTGAGTAAAGAGTATAATTTGAGAAGGCATTTCAAGACAACACATGCTAACTTTGACGCCACTTTCCCACCGGACTCTGCTGCTCGGAGCCAGAAGATTTCGGGGCTTA